TACATGCCGTTCTCTCTCTCTCTCTCTCTCTCTCTCTCTCTCTCTCTCTCTCTCTCTCTCTCTCTCTGTGTGTGTGTGTGTGTGTGTGTGTGTGCAGTCTACCGTTTACTACGCCCAAGTAACGAAATCTAGAACGGACTGCCCTGCCTCGTTGGCAGGGCTTACTAAAGAAAAGAAAAGAAAAGAAAAAACGTACGTATTGACTTTCGGAAAAAAAAAGAAGAAAAAGCGTACTTACCTTTCCCACGAGAGTGTGGATATCGAGGGCCTTGCTCCACTACTGTACTGACGAAATGTGCGACATGAGCATGGATCTTCTGGTAGAACTTAGGTAGATAAACTGCTAGTAGTTTAGAACTTGAAATGCCCTTTTCCTGGCCGCGTGTGGGGTGGTACAGCCATCAGTAGCTTGCTATTCGTTTTTCAGTTTTTTTTATTTTTTTTATTTTTTTTTATTCTCCTGCGATCGAAGAATCTGGGCTCCATCCAGCGGCCTAGCTCAATTGGTTAGGCACACAAGTGGCATTCAGGAGGTTGTGTTGGGTTCAATCCCCACGGCCGCCTGCGGCACTCTTGGTGCCATCCAACTGAGATAGTCGTCTGGATCCTCCCAGTCGGTATCCCAGTCGGTATCAGTAAGGTCTTCAGCCAACACCGGAGTGAGTGGGTTGCGTGTGAGTGGGTTGTGTGTGGTGTGTGGGAGAGTGTTGGCTTTGGACACTACCACCCAGAAGACTGGCTGCCCATCCCCCACTTCATAAGACCTTTGCCAAGCTTACTGTCTAGAACATAAAGCATGCTACCCCAATGGCTGCGTCCCCGCTTTTGATGCGGTATAACAGTATTTTCTGGCTGTGACACACCTTTCTTTGTTTCGTGGGCGCCTTTTTGCTGGCTTGTGATGGGGTGCGAACCGACAGTCTGTAGAGTTTTCCATCTGGTGTGGGTGAGTGATAGTCTGCTTTGGTTTTCGTCACAGGTGCCTTGAGGGCAGTGGTTGGTGGTCCCCACCACCTCAGAGGGGTATCAGTTGTTTGGCAGTCGTTGATGCTTGACCACAACAACCGGGGTTACGGTGGAGTATCACACTTAGTGTAATCAGTTAGGGGATTCTGCAGACTGTCGAGGGTTCAGCCTCCTGGTGAGTCGGTGAAACTCCGACGAAACAGTTTGTCACAGCCCCTCGTTTGTTGCCCTCGTCTCCCTCTCTGCCTACAATTTACCGGGCAGTTACCTGATGAGTCGGTGAAACTCCGACGAAACAGTGACACAGCCCCTTTTTCATCGTCCTCTTTTCTCTCTGTCTATCGCTTACTGGGTCGTTCTGTTTGGCAATATGTATAGTTTGTCACAGCCCCTCGTTTGTTGTCCTCTTCTCCCTCTCTGCCTATGGTTTACCGGGCAGTTCTATTTGACGATATATATATATGACATGGTTTCTGCATCCATGTGTGCGAAGGACTGTTGCACCGTTCGTGACTGCAGGCACCCTCCGCAACCGGACACTATATGTCCATTTTGCGGCCATGGGCGCTATACTGAATGCATGCTCTTTTGTGGTGACCGTTCTTCTTTCGTTTTGGCCTGCAATCGACATGCCATTTGTCGGGGGTGTATGACGGGCATGCTCAATGCCACCCGTCGTGGCAATTGTTGCGCTGAGAATGCTCAGCTAGGAGGTCTTCCATGTGTTCATCTAGCTCATCGTTACAATGTATGTCCTCTCTGTCGTCAAGGACAGACTCATTCTTGAGCCTTTTCTTATCCTCTTTTGCCTTCATCTTCACTCCACACTCCAAACTTTCCCTTACTTTCCCTTTATTGTTCTTTGTTTGTCTGCTCTCCATCTCTCCTCCCTGCGTTTATCCCCTCCCTCTCTCCCTCTTCGCTCTGCCTCGTTCTCACAGCGTACAAGTGCGCTGTTATCGCACACGGGGATGGGGGCAGCTCGCGCTCAACTTCATCAACGTGGCGAGCCTTGTACGTGAGAGGCACGGTGAAAGGGGAGTCAAAAGAAGAATGAGAAAAATGAATGGTTTCACTGTGCCCTTGATGTTTGTCCTTCTTTGTTTTTATTTTATTTTTTAATTTTCAATTTTTGCCGTTTGTTTCGCAAAAATTGCGCTCTTTTAGTTCATCATAGCTATGTGACAATATATATGTGTGTGCGTGTGTGTGTGTGTGTGTGTTTTCTTCTGTTGTTTGCTGTTTGCGTGCCGGTCTCTGCAGTGACCGACCCCACCGGTTGTCACCCCAACCGTGTTTTGGCCAAAGCCGGACTGTGAGCCTGTGATTTGACTTGTGAGCATGGCGGATCAGTTTTCGAGCGAGCAGATTGCGGATTTCAAGGAAGCCTTCAGTCTGTTCGACAAGGATGGAGACGGAAACATCACGACCGAAGAGCTCGGAACGGTGGTTCGTGCGATCGGGCAAAATCCGACAAAGGCGGAGATAGAAGAATGGATCAAGGAGGTGGACATCAGCGGTACCCACTTGATCGAGTTCCGCGAGTTTCTGAATCTGTTGACGAAGAAGGCGAAGCCTAATAATCTGGAAGAAGATCTGAGGGCCGGGTTCAGGGTTTTCGCCAAGGACGACCCGAACGGTCAGATGTCGGTAGAGGAGCTCAAGCACGTGCTCACGGCCATCGGCGAAACGCTCACGGAGGAGGAGGCGACGGAAATGCTGAAAGAAGCGGATGCCGACGGAGATGGGAAGATCAACATGGAGGAGTTTGTGAAGATGATGACGTCCTAGTTTCCGCTGGGGAAGCGGAAGCCGAAGCCAGGGACGTGCTAGTGTGAGGAGCTCAAGCACGTGCTCACGGCCATTGGCGAAACCCTCACGGAGGAGGAGGCGATGGAAATGCTGAAAGAAGCGGATGCCGACGGAGACAGGAAGATCAACATGGAGGAGTCTGTGAAGATGATGGCGTCCTAGTTTCCCAGCTGGAGAAGCTGGAGCTGAAGCCAGGGACGTGCTAGTGTGACTTGCTCCGTATGGCCGCAATGGAAAATGGAGAAAAGCGTGCATGGATCTGGACGGAAAAACACTGGTATGCTCTGGGGAAAAAAGAAAAAAGAAAGAATGTAACATTCTTATGAAAGTGTAGCGGTGTACCGGGAGATATTGTGTTGCATGGGGGTGAGTGAGAGCTGTACGACTTTGACTCGCTAACAGATAGCCCTGCTATTCTTTGGGGCAGCCTCACTTGAATGATTTTGCCCAGTCCAGAAAGAGCGTAACTTTGACGTCGAAGGAGTCTCTCTGACGAAGAAGTTGAATGGAGTCTGGCAAAGAAGTACGATGAGGGAATGCGGCGAAAAAGAAGCGCGACTTCTTCGTCCAGTTTGATTTGCAGAGGGTCGATACATGCCGGCTGAAAAGAAACGCGACTTCGCCCAGCTTCATTCGCAGACATTCGATGCGTTTTGGCGGAAAGGGAGCTCTACTTCATCCAGATTGATTCGCATAGGGTCGATGCGCATCAGAGAGCTAAGCAGCTTCACCGCCGTCGGGTTTGGGACAGGTTCGATGCATCCGACCTCGAACTTTGATGTGTTTTCTGTTTCGGGAAGTGTAGCAGTCTTTAAGCTTTTTTAGTGAATGCTTTGTCTGACACGAGAGCGAGCGAGTGAGAGAGAGACAGAGAGAGACAGAGAGAGAGAGAGAGAGAGACACACACACACACACACACCACACACACGCACACACACAGAGAGAGAGAGAGAGAGAGAGAGAGAGAGAGAGAAGAGAGAGAGAGAGAGAGAGAGAGAGAGAGAGAGAGAGAGATGCATTGAGGTTCCGAAATGCCGTAGCAGTGTAGATGAGGCAGAGTGAAGCGGGAGAGAGGGAGAGTGAAGAGGGAGAGAGGGAGGGGATTGCTAGGTAATCTTGTGACGCCTCTGGATTGGTTCTTCTCTTCTTTGCGTTTCGTTTTTTCACCTTTTTTTTTCTGTTTGTGAAGTTGGAAATTGGAAATGCGAAAAGGAGTTCTCAGTTGAGATGACGACCATTTATTTTGTCTGTGAAGCTTGAACTGTGAAGTCGTCTGCAGGTGAGAAAGAATGTAGAGATGTATGTTGGGATGTCAGATGTCGGACAGACACGGCCAAACAGACGAGCCAAACAGACGAGCAAAGGAAGCGACAGAGAAATAGACATGTGGATTTTATTCGGAAGGGACAGAGGACAGACGGGCAAAAAAAAATTCAATTGTCTTTGATGTCCGGGGGAGGAATGAATTTTGAGCAAAAGAAAAAAGAAAAAAAAAAGGTCTAGGCGAGAACGTCAGGGGTATAGGTTGGCATGTCAGATGCCAGATGTCAGACAGATGAAGCGAAAGACGGATACTAGACGGAGGGTAGACCGATAGACGGAGGGACATACCAATAGACGGGACGTAGAGGAGAGACCGAGAGACGGAGGTACAGACCAATAGATGGGGGGAGGGGACACAACAACAGACGTAGGGATAGAACAATGGACGGAGGGATATATCAAACACATGTTTATATAAAGAGGCAAAGGGGCAGAAGACAGACTGATAGGCGGAGGGAGAAGACGGATATAGACGGATATAGACGGAGGGAACAACAGATGCATACATGTTTGCGAAGAGCCAAAGGGGCAGAGGAGAGAGACTTGGTCAAATAGCCTGTGTGTCACATCGTAGGAGAATCCCTTGAGCTGTTCTGGGAAGACCAATACGTGTTGTAGTGTTGGAGCCTTGTAGGGTCTTGATTTAAAAAATTTTAATTTTGATATTATTATTATGTTTAGTATCTTAAGATCTGAATATGATAATAATTTACTACGTTCTGTAAAATAATAAAATTACTAAAAAAAATAGTATTGAAAAACAAATAGCGTCTTAGTGATTTAGGATTTGCCTTTGAGGTGTCATGGTGTCTCTTTTTTTTTTTCCCTTTTTAAATTTTAGAA